AGATGTTGTGCAGTGTGTCAGCACACAGTGTCTTTGTTCCCTATGTTCAAACCTGAGCATCATTAGCGTCATTAGCATCATTAGCATCATTAGCGTCATTAGCATCATTAGCATCATTAGCATCATTAGCATCATGCATATATGAGAACACAGAGACACTGAGGGCAGTCAAACTGAATCTTGAAAAGATAGTTTCAGGAATCAGATTACTGTTGGCAGCGACAGAGTTTCCTGTCAGTGCAGATTTGCAGCTCAGGTGCATCCATACCACAGGTGTGAATGCACGAGCATAGACTGGATTTTATGTCAGAGCTTCTGCTTGTTATTCAGTCTGTGTCACTATGTGATGGATATGCACAGAGCTCAGCCGCTAGCATGGCTAGCAGTCTGCGCATTAACAACCTCTGGGACTCTGTTTGTATTTGCTCATATTATATAACCACACTGTAAATCCACTTTTCCTGCCTCTAATGCGGTAAAACTTCCTGCGGCCTTTCGGCAGTCTGTTAACCTGCGTCTGAACCTGCTGAGGAGCAACAGCTGCAGGATAAAACCTAATGAAAATCTCCTTAATACACAATAAGGTCCTCAGAGGGGGGCGGGAAACAAAGTGCAGGAAATCAAAATGCACAGCTCTGAAAGAAAGAAAGTACACAGTTTTTTAAGCCTGATCCCGGTGCGACTGTGATTTCTCATAAGTCAACATGCAGATTAGACGAGCAGAATGAGGGCATTTCAGAGCCTTAACCATCAGCTGCACGACGCAAGTGTTGAGTCTGCAGATCAAAGAGGAGATGAAACAAAATCTAAAGCGTTTTATTATCTGCAGAGCTCGCCGTGCATTTACATCACCGACTGAAACGTCTCAGGGGGGGCGATTCCTCCTCAGCTCCGAGTTTTAACTCGGACAAAAGAAGCGCGGGATTAAACTGCGGCATTGTCTACATCGCAAACAGGGAAGGACACAGCAACACATTTCTGCCTCTGATAAAGCGCTGAGAAAGGCTGAGCTTTTCCTTCTGCGCCGCGTTCAGGTGACCTTCACCACATCGGCGCCTGTCCTTCAAATAAGTAAATCATTCAGTGACGAATGAATCAAACCGCGGCGTGTCCCTACTTGCCCTTCACCACAAGCTTTCATCACTCACGGCTCCCAAAGACAGTGAAAGGTTAAAAAGGCTCAACTCAAAAAGGGAGAGAAGAAGTTCACTCACAAAAAAACCTTTTAAAACAATGTTTTACCACAGGCGGCTTAAAAGATCGATTTTTCTGACTCTGAGAGGGAATAAAATTCATAAGATGGGCTTGATGTTTTTTTCAAAATGAGCCAAAGCAGAGAAGTTCATTATCTCATCAGGAAAGTGTTCACTAGGATCAGAGCAGAGGTTTTCCAACAGATTTCCACAGGAACAGAAGTGTTTGCTGCCACACAGAGCGCCCCCTGCTGGCCATTAAAAAGAATGCACATTTGTTCTACTTTATGTGATTTTACTTCAGTCTGGATTAAAACGCAGATTTAAGTCACGCGTCCTTTCTCATAGCCAGCAGGGGGCGCTGCTCTCACTGTCAGTCACTGGATCTGTGACCACACTAAACATTTTACTGATGGGTTCATGGACTCGCGCACCAGGTGCTACTAAACACAGTATCATGTTCATCGTGGTCTCATCGGTGAACAGAAGCAGAATAAAGGAGGCTACTTCTTGCTCTGAGATTAGTTAATAGCAGGTGGTCGTGTCCAAATTCATGGGCTGCTTCCTCCTGAGGCCGCATTTGTAGACAGATTACGTCACAGCGACGCGCCGAAGGCTGTCCAAATTCGTAG